TTGGGAGCCCCTTCCTCGCCCACCCCATCCTTGTGAGCCCCACGGAGCAGCGCGGCTCTTCGAAACGCAGCATTTCGCCCCAAAAAAAGGTGGATCCCTTCCCAGACAGGCACGTCCCGTCCTGTTCCGTTGGCACTATTAATTGCTCATCTATCAACCGCACATCTGTTAATTAACCCCGCAGCTCGTTCCCGGCTCCCGCTCCTCCCCCTGGAACATGCAGCACCTCCCCCCACCACTCTGGCACTCCCAGGGTCTCACTCAGGTCTGCAGCAGCTCGCAGCCCCCCAGGCACAGAGATACCTGCTTGAGCCCTGACAAGGCGCCTGCAGCAGAGACCAGCTGCTGTTTATGTTGAAAGGGCTTTTTTTTTTTTTTTTTTTAATAAAAGGTTTCAGTCTGAGAGTATCTGCATTAAAAACCGCACGGGAGGGGAGATGTCGATGGGCACGGGCTGCACTCTGCCACTTGGACACCGCCCTGGTGCAGGATGTTGGAGTCAGCCTTGGCTCCAGCCTGGGCGATGAGGTTGCTGCAGTGCTGGGTGTGCCAGGTGTGCTGGCTGTGCCAGGTGTGCCAGCTCCCGGCCCAGCCCTGCAGCCGTCACCGTGGCCTTGAAAACTTGGTCCCTATGAGTTCTGCAAAAAGGTCATTTCCAGCATTTAAAGATCACACCAGAGTGCAAACCTGTGCACACACACACACATTCACTCACAAATCCACACTCACAATCCCGAGGCCGCGCTGTCTCTCCCAGATGTGGTTCCCCTGTGTCCCACTGACCCCAGCCCCTCTCCTCCACAGGGCTGAGGAGGGTCCTGCCAGCACAGGGACGAGCAGCAGCAGCATGGGCAGCCACTCCCACTCCTTGTTGAGGGATCCAGGGGCATCATAGGGGTGTGTGGTGGGCACTGGGTGCGTGAGAGGTGACACTGTCCACTCCCAGGTGCTGGAACATCTCCCACCTTCCTGACACCCCAGGGTCTTGGGGCTCCTGGGGGAACTGGCTGGGCTCCTCTCTAGAAACAGGGTCTTTATTTCCTTGCTCAGAAAAATAGACTCATTTCCAAAGTTAAAAAAGAGTTTTGAAAGACGGAATGATGAAAGTGGAGCTGGAATGTGGGGCTGTACATGAGATGGTGCGGGTGGGGCTGAGCCGTCCCGCTCAGTAGCTCTCTTCCTCCTCACGGTAGTAGTGGTACCCGGGGGGGTCCCCACTCTGGTCCCCAGCAGCGTTGGCCACCTCGCCCTGGCTGCCCTGTGGGCAGTACTTGGGGTCATAGATCTGGCGGCCGAGGCCAAAGACCTGCCCGCTCTGGTTGGCGCCCTGGTTGGAGCCCATCTGCAGCGACATGGAGGAGTTGTCACACTTCTCTGTCCCCATCTTGGCATCATAGATGTGTCTCCTGGTGCCGGGAGCTGTCATGCCCACCTGGAAGGAAGGACAGGATGGAGCAGGGCTCAGGTGTGGTTCCCCCCATCCCTCCCCAGCTCGGTGTGGGGGCTCACCTGACTGGCACACTTGTTGGTGCCCATCTGGAGGCTGATGGTGGAGTGGTCCATGGGTGGCAGGATCTGATTTTTGGGGTCGTAGAGGTGCCTCCGGGTGCCATAGGCCGTCATACCGGACTGGCTGGCACACTTGTTTGTGCCCATCTGACAAAGGGGTCTCGTGAGGAGCGTGTGCTGCCCCACATGTGCCCCTTCTCCCCCTGTCCCTGTCCCCCCAGCCTGGGGAGAAAAGCCAGTGCTCCCTAACCCATCTCCCAACTCCCAGCCATCGAGAGCCAAGATGGTCCCAAATCCCAAGGACACTTGAGACACCTCATGCCTCAGGTCCCTCCAGCAATGCTTGGAGCTGTGACAGTGCTGAGAATTTGATACAACTGGGCACCCTTTGCCCAGTCCCCCACCCATGGGACCCTGTGGGGCAGCCCACCTGCAGGCCGATCACACACTGCCCAGCCTTCATCTTGGCCTCGTCGAAATTCCTCTGCTGCTTCTCTGAGTACTTCACGCCGATGTCCACCCCACTCTGCAGCCCCTTCGTCTTGGCCTGACAGGAATGGCTGTGAGGAAGGGCAGGGGTCCCAAAACCCCCACCCACTCCTAGTGCAGGGGGAGCTGTGGGGTCCCACAGGCACCACCCCAAACTGGGGGATCTCCACGGGGCTTCTGGGGATTCCCAAGCTGCTCCTCCCCCCGTGCTCACCATTCCTGCCAGTGCCAGCAGTGACACCTGCACCTGCGTCAGGTTCCCGCTCTCAAAAAGGTCATTGGCTTCAAAGAGGTCCACGGGGTTCATGCCGTAGCTGGCCATGGCTTTGATGAAGTTGGAGAGGTTCTCAAGCTGTGGAAAGGTAGAAGGGTGAGCCCTGGCAGGTGAGGGCAGAGCAACAGCAGGTGGGTGGCAGCAGAGCTGCACCTACCTGGTGCCAGTTCTGAGCTGAGCGGTTGATCTTCCTCACCGAGTTGGGCTGCAGCTTGTTCATGAGCCTGGAGGGAGGCAGGGGAACATGAGGCTGTGGCCAGAAGAAACCTCAAGGGGCTGGAGGGTATAGGCTCCTTTTGGAAAGGTTCAGCCCAGGCCTCCCCCAAGTAAGGCAAATTTCCCCCCAGGTCCCTGTTTGTCCTCAGGACACTCCCCAGACACAGAAGCCTTGGGGGCGACTCTGGCCGGTCCCACTGGCACAGATCCAGCCCATCCTTCCCACCATAAGGTCTGGTGAGGGTCTCCTGGAGGTTTGGTGTCCTCCATTTCCACCCAGCTGGAGCACGGGCCGGGAGCCATGCTCAGGACTGCCCCAGGACTCACTCGCAGAGGATCACCCCATCCTTCAGCCCCTTCTGGAAGTCAGGTCCGATCTGTTTTCCTGTGACGCTCTCGATCCACGTCCGCAGCTCGGCCTCCTTCTGTGGGTCATACTTCTGGGCGAGCTGGGGGGGCAGTGGGGGGACAGCTCAGGCAGGGCCCCAACATGCACCCCAAAGTCCTCATGGGGACAGTTCCCCCCTCCCTGCGATGGGAACGGGGACAGGAGCATGAGGATGATGCTGCCAGCACACACGGCAGCTTCTGAACCATTCCAAAAGTATGAGAAGGAACTGCTCATGGGGTTAGGGGGAAGTGCTCCCCCGGATCTGTCCCCAGGAGCCCGTGGGAGCTCAGCTCTGAGCCCCGGGGGTCCTGGCCACGAGATGCTCT